AAAACCACTCTTATCTGTGCCTGCCGTAGAATATGATAACTCACTTGAGCGAACACCCTATTGGCAGTCGAAAAATGCCCGCTTCAATCAAATCAAAATGAACATTTCGGCAACAACGACGGCTGTTAATCCAAACCCGGAGGGAGCAAGTCATATTTGCCCTATTGCATAGGAAGTTCACAGCTTTGAGATGCAAGATCCTTGCGCATCTTGCCACGATTTTAAAAATGGATCAGTAGGAAGGCACTGAAGTAATAATAAGTGAAAAGAACTTGTCTAGATTCAATAAAATATTTACGAACTTAAATCGAAGTCCAGTGCTTCGATCCCGCGAAAATTTCCTCCGATGACGCACGCCTTCGTTCTATTTATGCTGTATCCTGCATGACCGCCACTGGTGTAGACCGGCGCGGCTAAATCGGTAGAGCGCGACCGACTCATAACCGAGAGGTCCCGGGTTCGAGTTCAGGTCTTCATTACTCCTTCCCAGGTTGATAAGTACATACCACCATATGGTAAAAAACAAGGGACTACACACCATGCCTGCTACGTAGCTGTTGTTGACCCTGTCTTTAAAAACATAAGGCAGTTTCGGCCGACGTCATGAAAATGAAGATCAGAGCCTCATCATTAACTTTACAGAAAGAAGAATGACATGAACGGCCTCATCATGAAACTGCAACGAAAACAACAAGCCAACGGTTACGGAGTTTCCCTTTCCGTTTTAGACTGTATCAACCTAAGGGACGAATCATTTCCATACATTCCACCTGCATGCTACCATATAGCAACACCGACACTACCGTATACTAGACCAGATAACAATGCATTTCGATAAACAAAACGAAAGGTACCATTACCGGCATTGATGCGCCGACGCGTTGGCAAAAGGGGAATGACCTCTAGACCAGAAAAATAAGCAGTCATGGACAGACAACAATGAGATCACCAGAGCATGGCCGCCATCCAGCTCTACAAGTACGATGCTCGGAAAAAAGCACAATGCCCAATGACACTGTGATGACGATGCGAAAGCGACCCGACTCTTTCAAGAAAAAAGGCAGCAAATATAATGGTTGGTTTGCGATTAGACATCAGTTCGTCAAACTTTCGAAGAGGCAAGTTCGATTAAAAAGATAGACCGAGTTAAGGGACCTGTCTCTCATACGAAATTCACACGGAAAACATAACAATAAAATTCTTGACTCTAAAGCCATTTTAAGACAATGCTCAATTACCTATCATGTAGTCGAACGACACAGGAAAATACTGCTGCCCACTCGTAAGTTCTGTTAGCCAGTTCTTTTGAGTAAAGAGACTGATCGTCAATTGGCGTTCGACCAAATTACTCAAAAAATGAGGGCAAAATGTCCTAATAAGGTTAAAAGCACACACGGGTACGGAGCAAATATCGAGCAATGCGAAGAGTACAAGTTCAACTTGCAAAAACAGCGGAAGTCAGGTTAGTCCCTGTGTCAAAACTATTACCACCAAGATATCTGACTTGTTACAGCCACGAGTCTATAGCTGCAGTGCTTTCGATCCTTTGCTCCGGTTCTTCCCGTTGCTACGAGGCAGAAGTCGTCAACAGTTTCAATAGCCATTCATTAACAGGCAATGTAGACTAGGATTAGACCATCGCCTTTAATCAGGTTGACTTTACCCTACTGATGGTGCTGCCATTGTAAATCACTGCTACAATCGGAATGAGAATTTCGGACTTGGACATTGAGAACATGCACATCGTTTTGAAAGCCGAGGGCCAGAAATCACTGCGCTGACGAAGATATGGTATCTTCACCAAGAGATTAAATGACAGTTTCCAAAACGGTGCACGAACTCTGTAACGAAAGCCTATAACCAGTCTGGAACCTGGAATGTACGGAGTCATCATCCAGAAGATTACTTTAGTGAACGGATAGGATATCTGAAACTATCAAAAATGGGATAAAGCGGTGGGGATCCCGGTCAACGGAGGCATTGATGAGTTAATCAAGAAAACCAAGTCAAAATGCTAACGATAGAGCCAGAGTGGACTACTTTCAGGTGAATTATAACTAAACGACCGACTGTACGTCAAACTCTCATCTAAGCAAAGAAAGCAATCAAAATGTCGGCATGCTTCAGAATGAAGCTCGAGTTACGTCCGTAAGTTGCCGGGTGGTCTGTTTTCATATAGAACACCGACGAATCTTTCCGTGACGCCCCGACACAACAAAGTGACC